ACATTATGGGGTACTGAGTGTAGATTAATGAGAAAAAAATGAATTTGAATGATTTTGGCATCAGGCTGCAACATAACAAAATTGAAAAAAGTGAAGGGGGTCTGAATACTTTAGGAATGCACTGTATATATACTCTGTGTGTGTCTGTGTGTATCAGATATGTTGGCCCCTTGCCCGTAAAATTTTTATTAGTATGATTTTTTTTAAAAACTAACAACCTAGAAACTTTAAGAACTACAAGCTCCTGTTCTGTGGTTCTTAATTCAGTTCCAAATTAAAGAAAAAAAGGCCCTGAAGAGTATTTTTGTCATTTAGATATAGAAGGAACTTATACTAAAACCTTATGTTAAATATTTAACATAAATCTTTTGTGAAATATTTAACATAAATCTTTTGTGAAATATTTAACATAAATCTTTGTTAAATATTGCTTCTTTGGAGGTAACTGTTTTTTTGCTGAAGGATATGGTTCATGAGATACCACTAACGTATTTTAAAGTTAATTTTTAATTTAGAAGAACATCCAGCCTTCCAGAGATCTCTGATATTGGAAAGTGTTTCCACCATTTTTTGGAAATCACCTTTGAAGCCTGCTTGCTCATGACTTAATGTTAATAGATTAATAGAATCCCTGTAATATAGATTGAGATCTTTCTGTTACTCGACATAATTAATATAAAACAAGATTGTTTTATCTAAACTAGGTGCTGTTATAACTATCCCATCAGTATTTAAAGGAATTTCCAGTTAGGAAAAATATCTTGACATACTATATTCTGAGAAGGCTAAACTCCTTATCATCATGATTAGACAAATTATGCTGCCTTTCAAATATCACTAAAGAGGTGATATTACTTGGATAAAAATCTTCTCCATAATTCAGCATCCTAAAATAATATTTAATTGTACATCTCTTGTAAAACCTTACAACTTTCTTCAAGAAGTAAAATAATACAGGATTTTCTTTTGGGGACTTTTGATGAAAAGCTTTTATTTTTAGTACTAGTGTTTTTCTCTTTTTCTACTGCTTTAAGATTTTACTCACTATATCTGCAGAAATAATTGCTAGATATATAATGATAATATATACTGGTAAAATCAATTCTGTAGTAGCGTTCAGTTGAAAGGAATTCAATTTAAAAAACACACCGTTTTTTAATATAGCCTGAACGTAATTTTAAGGGGTAGGAAATAGTAAGCTGTAGCTGGATATATTTGGAATAAAATTCTATGCAAGTAGCAACTATGTTATTATTATAAATTAAACTTGAGTTTGTTAGGTATAATTTACATCAAATAAAAGAGTACATATATGGGACATGCTAGACATAATATATTACCTGGAAGTGAGGTTTAAAAATACCTTTATGAATAAGTTGTGTTCCTCTTCATTTGTAGATGTGATGCAGATCCATCAGCCCTTGCTAAGTATGTTCTTGCTTTGGTGAAAAAAGATAAAAGTGAGAAAGAACTTAAAGCACTATGTGTCGATCAACTGGATGTGTTTCTTCAGAAGGGTAAGATCTTGTAAATTTAAAGCTTCAGCATCTTATTTCAAAGTCTAATCTCATTTAAAATTTAATCCATTTGATTTTAATTACAAATTGGAAATGACTTTACCAATGCCTTTATTCCCCATAGAAACATAAAAATATAATACAACATCTAGCATAAACTTTGACTGACTGATATTCAAATGCTGTTGTTGCAGATAAGGTCACCATGAATTTTGCTTTTGGACTCTCTGAATAATATGTTTTCAAAAGTTACTAGACAACTTCCTAGAATAAAATATCAGTCAACTTTCAGACAGTTAGCATGTGCTTCTATTTCCCCTTGATTGCTTGAAACAATCCTCTTTCCCCATCTAAGCATTCTAAAGGGTTATTCTTGCTTGAAAACATCAGTGCCTGAGCAGCTGAATGTGTGGTTGTTGTTGTTGTTATTTTGTTATTACCGTAGTCAGTTAATGTCTCATTGCAGAACCAACATAAGGCTATGTATGTTGTTTCCAAAGCTGGAAATCCTAGAATTGGTGCCTGAAAATAGAATTGTCCCAATGCTGAGCAAGTATAAAACTGTCATTTTTCCAAGTAATAATAGCCATTAAGACTACTCCTCAACTGCCAGTTTGTGCACTATATACTGTTTGGATTTCATTTCAGAGACACAGATATTTGTAGAAAAATTATTTGATGCTGTAAATACCAAGAGTTACCTACCTCCACCAGAGCAGCCATCCTCAGGAAGCCTGAAATCAGACTTCTTTCAGCATCAAGAAAAAGAAGCAAAAAAAGAAGAGGTAGTAATCAGTCATATTTTTTCTTAAGCTTATGTTATATCTTTTAGCCTGATTTACATATTTCATTGCTATTTTTACTTTCAGTACATTTAAATGCCAGTTTGTTACAACTATGATATTTTTGATGGATATCTTCTAGAGGATAGACTTCAGTCATAATTAATCCTAGCAACATATATGGTACAGATATAAAACTTAGAGTATCAGATTACCTAATACTATGAGAAACAGGTGGTAAAGGGTACAAATAGAGCAAAGTAGCACAAAATATCTCTAATACTTTATTTTTATGTTACTGTTGTGACATATTATTTTCTGTAGGATAAATAAGTTGAGATGTGTAAGGTTTGTAAAAAAAAAAAAACTCAGGAGAACTTTGTAAAGGTTCTTTTTTGGGAGTTGTTAGAATAAGATCTCTTTCATATTCCTTTTTATCAAGGTAATTAAAGAGGAAGAACGAGAGAAAAAATTCTCTAGAAGGCTTAATCATAGTCCTCCTCAGTCAAGTTCACGATACCGAGAAACCAGGTAATGCCTGTTTTTTCTTATTCTTGCAATTGATAAATATTTCTGATTTTAGGACTCTTTTCTTATATAAATGCTGAGACATTGGTTTATTTCAGTATCGCAAAGTTCAAAGGCACAAATTATCAAGTGTATGTAGAATGTGTTTTAAACAAAAATTTAAAAATATAAGTTTTATTTTGAACTTAACTATGTTTGTAATAGAGGTACAAGCAAGTGCTTTTCTTGAACTGTCTTCACCCTTTATATCTGAAATATACAGTAGCTTATTTACAATAGAATAATTACATTTTAGAAAATTGCTAGTATCTGGACTTTTCTCTTTTCTGCTTCTGAATAATTAACAGAATTAGCCAATACTATATATGTCAAGGCTGTTCAGGCACTAAATTTGCAGGTTAGTTACTTTTATAGTTTTGTTGTAGCCAATATATAGTGCTGGTTTTTGATATTTACATTGACCTGGTAATTAGGGATGAGCATAACTCATCAGTCCAAAAATGGAACATTGCAAAGAGCTTACATCTGAGAGACCTTGAACCACTTCTGGTTTGAAGGAATTATTTCCAGACATTGCTGAACCGTCATTGGCATACCATGGTCCAGAGTTGGAATGGAATATTCCACAGTTGTTTGGAAAGTTCCATTCCCAAATTGATGAATTTTGCATTTCTACCCATAACCTTTTTTTGCAATATTTTCTGTGATTATCTTAATTTTTTGTTAAATATTTCTACTAATTTGGATGCAAATAGTCTTTTTTTGTCTTTTGTATGAATTACAGGTTCCATTTTCCATTTAGGATATTAAATTTAGTCCTATAATTTTTTCTTGTCCAAAATATTTAGAAGCAGAGATGAAAGGAAGAAAGAAGAGCGTTCTCGCAAGAGAGATTATGATCGGAATCCTCCACGAAGAGAATCCTATAGAGACCGCTACAATAGAAGAAGAGGAAGGAGCCGGAGCTACAGCAGGAGCCGTAGTCGAAGCTGGAGTAAAGAAAGGTTGCGGGATCGAGATAGAGACAGAAGTAGGAGCCGCACTAGAAGTAGAACAAGAAGCAGAGGTAACTAATTACCTTAAGTATTAGTGAGCACAATACATTTCATTTAAATAAATGGGATTTTGTATAGTAGCCTATCTCAAACAAGTGACTCAAGATTATCAATGTAGTATGTAGGGAATTGTACTCAGACCTTCTTTGCCCTCGTAGGAGAGATATAGAGCAGATTTTTGGCTTTTAGCTTTCCCCTCCATGCTTTTTCCTTACCCTGCATATTACAAGTAGAAGGGAATTATCTGAAATTGTAAGTCCAACATGTATTTGAATGTCCTGGCTCTGTTGTCCAGAGCACTGTCTGTTCTTGGCTGCAATTAAAAATATCTGTCTATCTTAGGACAAATCTTTGTGCAGTCTCCAAATTACTAAAAGCTGGAGATGCCCACTCAAAAGAATGTATACATATTTCAGAATTTATTATATTCTTTGAAATGGTCACAGTTGTATTGTCTGATATTTTTTGTTACATTAGTTGGATTTTGGAAGGGTTTTTTTTTTTTTTTTAGAAATTGATTAGTCTGCATAATTGTTGATGTTTTCCTTATATTACCTTGTTACCTTGCACACTTCTCAAATGTTCTTTTATAGAAAGAGATCTGGGGAAGCCAAAGTATGACTTGGACAGAACAGAGCCATTAGAAAATAATTACACTCCTGTTTCTTCTGTAACAAACATTTCATCTGGCCACTATCCTGTCCCTACGCTAAGTAGCACTATAACTGTTATTGCTCCCACTCATCATGGAAATAGTACTACTGAAAGTTGGTCAGAATTTCATGAAGAACAGTTGGACCACAATTCCTATGGAAGACCTCCACTACCAAAGAAACGGTGCAGAGACTACGATGGTAAGCCCAGAAAATTAGATCCAAATATTGAAGTTAAGATCCATATGTTATTTTTATATTTGTAAGTTTTTTTCCTTGAGCTCCTCAGGTATTGATGATCAAAGATCTTAAATATTCTCATTAAATTATTTTGTTTTTAGTATTTTATATACTATTGTGTAAAAGTATAAAAAATAAAAGTTATTACATTGTAATATGTTTAATTATTGTATAGCTACATTGTTAATGTTTATTGCTCAGAATGGTACAGGTTCCTAATTTTATTTTGCTTTAACTTTTCAGAAAAAGGGTTTTGTATGAGAGGAGACATGTGTCCTTTTGATCATGGAAGTGACCCTGTAGTTGTAGAAGATGTGAACCTTCCAGGCATGCTGCCTTTTCCAGCACAGCCTCCAGTTGTCGAAGGACCTCCTCCTCCAGGACTTCCTCCTCCACCACCTATTCTTACTCCTCCTCCTGTAAATCTTAGACCGCCTGTTCCACCTCCAGGCCCTTTACCTCCCAGTCTTCCACCTGTGACAGGTAGGTTCTATTAATTGTAAATCTATGACTTGGCTGCAAATATTATACATTGTGCATTCAGGTAGAGTTTATTAATCATGGTTGGGTTTTGTTGAAATCAGTGTGATTTCTGGTAGATACCAGATCTGTGTGAAATAAGTTCTGTTTTCTCTATAATGTGGTAGTGGACAAACATATGGATCTCACTTGTCTTATGGAAATTTGATTGGACAAAGATAGCATAGCACTTCTGAAATTTGCCCACCGGATTTCTAGATGCCCCAGCAGTCCTAATGCCATGGCTGGGAAGGAGGTATAGCGGTGATTTTTTCTTGAGACCTTGACTAAGACCAGATGTGCTTGCTTTGCACATGGATGAGTGAGAGTGCCTATACGTTACATTGGGCCTTAGGGAGAGGTTGAGGCTGGTCAGTTCACTTTCTGATTTACAACCATTTAGTTGGTGCTGAACCTCTGTAGGGGCAAGGGATTGGTTAAGAACATCCATCCTGATACCAATCTCTAAGCTTCCCTTTTCAGGGAAGGTATGGGGCTTCAGTTGTAGATAATCCTGTAGGAAAAAGATTTTCTGGACCCTTTTCAGTCAGGTTTCAAATCAGGGCGTGAGATGGAAATAGTGTTGTTTGTTCTGCTGGATGACTTTTGTCAGGACCTGAATGGAAGTAGTGTGTTCCCCCAGTCCTCTTAATATTCAGATGGTGTGCCACTTGCAGGCCTACCTGGATCAGGAAACCTTAACAACAGTGAGCTATTTCATGTCACCTTGTGGTTAGATTTCTACAATGGATTTTGTGTGGGACTGTCTTTGAAGGCAACTTGGAAGCTTAGTTGGTCCAGAACAGCTAACTGGTGCTAATAAATTCTGTGGTGTGGCTACTCTACTGTTGCTAATTTGTTATGGGCCCCATTCAAAGTGTTGGTTATTATCCTTCAAGCTTTATGTAGCTTGGCTCCCAGCTAGTTACAGGACCATCTCTCCTGGCAAGATGTGATATATTCCATGCATTCTTGCTGGGAAGGCTTAGTGATGATCTTAACCACATGAAGTGAAATTGGTGGGGCCCCAATAACATACCTTATGTGGACACTTTGCCTCCTGAGGAATAAAATGCCCTCAATGTCCTAGGCTTTTGAAAATTTCTTAACACTTACCTGTTAACTATGCTTTTGGGATCTAATGGTGTTTCAGCTATTTTATGGATAATTATTTAGTATTAATTACTCCTGGTTTTATGAATGTATTTTTCCTAGTGTTTTGTAAATTGCCTTGAGTATGCAAAACTTGACAGTCTATAAAAATGTCTACATTTTATAACCATTTGTTTCTCTTTAAACAGTGGAGCTTCCTCCAAAACAATCTAACATATTTTCATTATGAAGATATATAGAAGGAGATATCCTTTTAGATATGGAGGATCCAGACTAAGCTTTAAAAAATTAAGAGATTGATTGCAAAGCACACTTCAGTATATTTTTATTTAAAAATGTGTCATGTGATCTCTGTTGTTTCCTTTAGTTACAGTTCTGACACTTGTACTATAAAATAGTTATACATCAAGCAACAAGTTGGAATTTGCAGTGAGAATAATTTGTAGTTTATGGTATAACAGGTATTTCTAGTGGTTGTAGACATTTTTTCTTGATAAATGACTTATATCTATCCTGAAACTATTGCCCTTTCAAGGAAATAAAACATGTTAGCCATTATTTACTTCGTATTGCTATCTATTTCTAAAGATGCAGAATATATCCAAAGACAAGATGTGTAGGCCTTTTATTTTGTGCAGCACATGGTTGCTTTTTCTTCATTTTTGTAACCCCATTATTTCTCATTTTGGTAGGACCACCACCTCCACTACCACCTTTGCAGCCCTCTGGTATGGATGCTCCCCCGAATTCTGCTACCAGCTCTGTTCCTACAGTTGTAACAACAGGGATTCATCACCAACCACCACCTGCTCCACCCTCTCTCTTTACAGGTGTAGTACTGGAATTTTTTTTAACCAATGAAAGGGGAGACATGATTCCTACACATAATGTGCAGTGGACTACTAGAATATTGGAAGGGAAAAAAAAGTCACGTGAGGAGTACTCCACCCTTACATAGTGAAACTTCTCATTTCTTCATTTTCTCTACAGTCTCCCTTCCCCTGTTATACTGGTCCTAAAATATCCCCATACTTTTACAGCAGATTTTGAATTTATGGAGGGAGGTAAAAGATTAGGGACTGAATGTACCTTAATTGGCTGCCATCATACAGTTTACTAAAAAGAAGACACTTGTGAGGGCAAAAAGAATAATTCTAGCTAACTAAAATAATATCGCTGCCTATATTTTTAATAAGCCTCTGTGTGAGACGTAGTTTTTGTAATCCAAGACAAGATCAAAAGAATTGTGAAAACTAGGTTTCCAGACTTAATGGAACATTACCCTGTGTCTGTGTGTGTGTATTTTAACAAAGGGTCAAAAGCTTAAGAAAGCTCCCAAACTAGTTTATTATAAGTTACAAAGTTTAAAGAAAAAATGTTTTTAAAAAACTTGGGTAGAAAAAGTTGCATGAGGAAAAAAAGTTACATTATTTTGTGTTCTGATTAGAATTTATCACCAGAGAACAATTTTTTGTTTAATCCTATATAAATTGTATTAAGCTTACATCTACAATTAAAGTGTGTAAAGTTGATTTGTGTACACTATTAGCACACATCAGTTTAGTAGGTAATCGTTCAATCTTTCAAAATGATTCAGTTCAGCAATCCAGCTACTTTTGAATATGTGCCAAATTACCTTTTTTTTCCAAATCAGATTGGTGATTTAAATCACTTAAGGGTTGATTTGCATGCCTGTACTATATGGTTTAAGTTTCTCTATTATTGTGTAATTAGATAATGTCTTTTTTGCCAGAAACATATGACACAGATGGCTATAATCCTGAAGCACCAAGTATAACCAGCACTTCAAGACCTATGTATAGACACAGAGTCCATGCCCAAAGACCAAATTTGATAGGACTTACCTCAGGTGATATGGACCTGCCCCCAAGAGGTAATATGAAAGATTTCTTGCTTTAAAATATAGATGGATAGTAGCACATGATTCTTGGAGGCCTTAAGTTTAGTCTATTCACACAAGGCTTGAATCATCTCCCACCTTATGCTCACCTTTATGTTATTCCATCTTGCTAATTGGGAAATATGATAGGAACAAGAGTTGCAAGGATCATTTCTATTGGTGACATCACAATTGCACTTTTCCCTGTCAAGCAAACACCTGCTTGCAAGGCTTATAGAGTATGATTTAATGGAAAAACAATCCATTCACACTGTACTCTCTATTAGAATCATGCACCTTCCATTTCTCTCCACACATGCACTGTCTCCATTTTATTATAAAACATTTAAAATTATATATGTTTGCTGCCGTGTTTAAAAGTTAAACAAGCTCAGACTAACAGGCACAGTAGTTTCATGAAGTTATGAAACCAAAGGAAAGAATAATGATGGAGTGGACAAAATAATATTTTAAGTTTTATATGATAAGGTGACCCAGAGTTCTGATCATCTCAGGGAGAGCTTGCATGTTTGGGAAAACCAGAAGATTTCTGTACTTGGCAGTCAGAAAAGCTTGATTTAATACTATGATGTCTGCAGAAATATTCCCAAATTATTTTCCCTCATTACTAAAGCTTTTTGATTTTGAATAGTCCTTTACTAATTATCTTTCCAGAATCCTTCTAGCAATTATGAACTTCAGTTAAAGTAACCTATTTATTAGAGATTGGATTTCTAGTCTCATTGTTTGTCTTGCCTATCTGCAAACTATTGTATTATGATATCTTTCTCCAACTGGATGCTATCCACATACGTAAGACTTCAATTTGCAACTTCCCTAGGCAGCATGAGGAAGACTATATTTCAACATTTCCGCAATCCTTGTTATAGATACCCATCTGTCTGGCTTTTTCTCTGTATTACTCCGGTTCTAAAATTATTACAACTTATTGTGGTACTCTCAGTAGTTTGCAAGTTACCTAGAAAATGATTAAAACACCCACAGTAAATCCAGTTAAAAACATCTAAAGTCAATAAAAGCACAAAACAAGCATAATGGACCAGAAACATATACCATCATATTGAATCGTGTATACATTGATGACTACTTTTAAGTTATAAATGCTCTATGAAAGCCTAGTTTTTAACATTTTCCTAAATACAATCTGATTTCCACTGGAAGGCTATTCCAAAGAACTAATGCTGCTACTGAAAAGCAGAGTTTTTAGCTGCATTTCTTCCCAGAGTTGGGAAGCTATTTGTGTTTTCTTGCTTGATGACCTTGTACCCAGACATAGATGGGGATTAAGATAGGTGTGAAAAAAAGGTTAGTAGAAACTTGTTTCAACCTTATTGGTAAGTCATAAAATCAAAGTGGAAAGAAAAAAAAAAGGAAACAAAATGCACATGCAGGTAATTCAGAGAGAATGTATGCCCCGAGAGACACTCCTGATCTCATATTAAACTTCACTGTTTCTCCATGACATGCCCCTTTCCCATTCTTTATTTTTTCCTCCAAACTGTTGGCAACTATCAAATCCCTCTCAGGCTTCAGGTTGTAAGTCATCTGCTAAATGTCTATAGTTGAAAAGAAATTTTATTTTCTAAGCAGTGTATTCTATAGTTGCCCTGTGGGGTTTCATGCATTTCCTTTTGAAGCATCTGGTCTTAGTATATGTTGGATTAACACTGAATCAAAGGGACTTGGGTTTAAAGAAGGACAGCATTTAGTATGCTGCAAAAATGCAGTAAGTCAGTTGATGGTAATAAGGAGTGAAAATTCTACTATAAAATGCACAAACACCCTTTAAAAATTAATCAGTGTACTCTTTTCTTCCACACAGAAAAACCTCCAAATAAAAGTAGCATGAGGATTGTAGTGGATTCAGAGTCCAGAAAGAGAACTATTGGTGCAGGTGATGGAGTTCCAGCAAAGAAGAATTGGTTTGACAAGTAAGCAATTGTTAGCTCTAGTAACAGCAGAGTGAGCAGAGTAATCAAGAGTGAACTGCTGTGTCCTCTGCTGTGCTCAAAAGACCGCTCACCCTAAACCCCCCCCCACATATTTTGACTTTAAAAGAGTGGAATTTAGATACAGTACAAAAATATTGCCTACACTTGATTTAAAGTTTGAAGATCAGAAAGGTCAAGATAGCAGCTGCTGCAGCAGCATAATCAAAGTCTTTATGTGTCTTTATGTCACGTACTCATGTAGAACAGCAGGGCTTTGATCACACTACTGCAACCATATCTTGACTTTTTTGATGGATGCTGGGGATACCATTGGTGCAGATCATATGAATAATGTTTTCAGTTATTTTTGTATGGACCCTATAACGCTCAACACTTGTCTGTGTACCTGTATTAAAAGATAGTATAACTTCAGTGATATAGTTCTCTCTGTTACTGCATGGTTAATACTGCTTTCCAAATCAGGAACAGTTTTAATACACATGTTAATAACTTCCTCATTCCAAGTTGAATTAAGCATAGTTATTCAACTTGCAATATACACTACAAGATTAAATCTGGTAGAGTTTAGTATGGATTCAAATTACAATTCTGATCAATCTGTGATAAACCCAACTTATTCTTACATTTGAAGGGCAAGTCATAGAAGACTGAATTATACATATCTTGTATATAATCTTTGGGGAACTCTGTAGTGGAAATTCATGCATTTGTTAGAGTTTAAACTCTAGAGTGGTTAAATGGACAGTGCTGATTACACAGGTTCACATTTCATTCAGTACTTTCATTCAAGATCTCTCCCTGAAGTTCTAGATCGCTGCTTTTTCCTAGGTAAGATGACTTGATGTAAGAACTAGTTGAAGGGTCCACCTATCAGAAAACTTGGGGAGGGGGTGATAAAACATTGCAGAAAATCTTTAAACTCTTTTTTAAACATAAGTGAATTTTTAAACAAGTACTGTGGAGGTTTCTGCAGAGGGAAATGTGGGAATCTAGAGGAATGTTACTCATTTATGAGCATGGATATAGTATATATAGACATATATTATAAATTCTGGCATGTGGTGATGAACTGATCTTTGGTTTTTCCTACTTAGGTAGCTGCTTAGTGATACTGAGGCTTTTCTTGTTTCCCAACAATGTTTAAAAGAAATGCTTCTTAGAATTTAGTTTTAGATTATTTATCATTTAATTCCAGATTTTAACTATTCTCTTATGAATTAAATTCTACTAATAGCTTTAGGCATTTTATTATTTTATTTCAGACAAAATTTTAATAGAACAAACAGTCCAGCTTTCCAGAAGAAGTTGCAATTTGGGAATGAAAATACAAAACTTGAATTGAGGAGAGTTCCTCCAGAACTTAATAATATTAGTAAACTAAATGAACACTTCAGCAAATTTGGAAATTTAGTGAATTTGCAGGTAGGTGATATTGTAAAGCTTTTACTGTATTGTTAAAACAATATATCAGAAGTCGCAACATGGCATTTTTCTAATAAATAAGGCTTGAAAATTTACTCCATTTTAGCATGAATACATCAGCTGTTTAAACGGGGAGCTTTAATCACAAGTTAAATATTGGCATGTAATTAATCCATTGCAGTTAGTCTAAGGCAAGAATTAGCAACATTGTTCCCTCCAGATATTTTGGCCTACATATTCCACAGTCCTTTGAAATTGTCCCTGCTGATGGGGTCTGATGGGAATTTGAATTCCAAACATTTGGAAGGCATTAAATTGTCTATCTCTTGATTTGTAAATTGACACAGGTAGTAATTCCTTTCTTCTCAAATAATCTATATTACAGTTTGCTATACTGCAGTTTAAAAAAAATAAAAGGGATATTTAGACCAGTTTGTACCCACTTATCAGTTTATGGGGGATTTTTTTGGTGGATTTAACAAAGACATAGAGGGCATATATCACATACATACATACATAACATCTATAAAGTTTTACAAGAAATATTTCAGTTTTATAGGAATGGGAGCCATAATTTGTTACAATCATTCATAGCTCATATGTATTTCTGCAGATGAAGTCTGAGTATTTTGATAATAGAACTTCAAGCCCTTAGCAGGCTTCATGCTAGTTCAGAACATTTAGAATAGTACTATGATTGAATAGAATTTGTGATGTAAATAATATTCGCTAGTTGTGCCAAGCACGCTGATGCTACTGAATGGGTCTGTATCCTCTTGTTTCTAATGTTCAGTTTATATTTCAGCAGAAATTATTATAATTCTTTGTCAACCTTTTGAGGTAAGCCTGGTCAGAGAATAGACTATGCGAGGACTACTGGAACTCTCTTTATTCCTATAGGATATAATAACAGAATTCCAAACAGAATCAGGGTGTGATTATCTTGAGTCTCTTTCTTATGCTACCTCTTTTTCCAGGAGTGTGTTGTTGTTTATTTTCTCTGAATGGTTTTCCTAAAGACTCTTGTGCACTCCTCTACATTGTGTTTGGCTTTCCTTGAAAATCATAGGTTGCCTACCAGGGAGATCCAGAAGGTGCTCTCATCCAGTTTGCTACCCATGAGGAGGCTAAAAAAGCGATATCGAGTACAGAAGCAGTCTTAAATAATCGATTTATCAAAGTCTATTGGCACAGAGAAGGCAGTACTCCACCAATGACAACTTCAGTGCAGAAGGTAAAGGAATAAAATTTGGTTAATTCAGATAGCTCTTTTAAGCTAAATATCTACTTTAGCTCGGTTTTCAGGAAGATGTTTGAATCTTGCATCTTCCAGTACTAAGAAGGCAAGATTATTTATTTTAATAATTTTGCTTATTAGGAATATAATTCAATATTTCATTTCACATATTTGAATATTTTTAATGTAGGAAAAGTCATGGATCAGAGCCGATACAGCATTTCAGTACTGACTGTTCTCCTTGTAAGGTTATCTTTATTCCTACTAGTTTCATTTCGAAAAATGAAGTTGTGCACATTTCAAAAATAATTCAGAGTGCTTCCAGTCTTATGGGAAAGCATCTCTGCTATTCATTAAAGCATACCCCCCCTTTTTTTTCCTAGTATGAGCCTGAAGAAGATGATGGGCTTGCTTTATTTAATAAATATTAGAAAGGTGCTTCATGAGGTTCAACCGCTTCTGTGGAATAACTTTGAAGCATGCATGGCCCTGAAAATAATATTTTCAAGTATGTTTTGAGTATGTTTTTGTGATAACCTGCAGTGCTCATCCCCAGATCACTACCTGAAGTATTACGCAGAAACATATAAATGTTTATTGAAAAGATAATCTGAGGATATTAATAAATTCACTGCAAAAAATGGACTTGTGAAAGAGTGGATCACATATTGTGACACTGAAAACATTTTAAAGGAATTTCCAATCAATCTATTTCAAAAACCACTATGAAATTTTGAGACAAATTAGAACCTGTGGTACAAAAAATATTATTTTATAAATAGTTCCGAGAGTTTTTTTAGTAATTATGTTATAAAATGGCCTGGTAGCCTGGTTCAGATAAAGCTAAATGGTACCAAAGCAAACTTAGAGGAGCTTCAAACTCTTCTCCTTCAGTTAAAGAGATCAAAAGGTTTCATTTCAAAATTAACCAAAGTTCTCTCTGATGTCAAAAATCTGAGAACTATGGCTTATTCTATTTATTGTTAGCAAAAACAAGCAAGGTTAAAGAATACCTATTCTTAATATGTTCAAGTAGCTTGTTTCTAGATTTAAAATTCAAATAGTCTGAGTAGTTTGAGGACTATGGCCTTATAAATCATACTGAAAATATAATTATGCTAAAATAGCAATCAGGTTAGACCCATCAGGAAAAGTGGAATACAGTGGTACCTCGGGATATGAACTTAATCCGTTCCGTGACTCTGGGCGTATCCCGAG